CTCATTCAATGGCTCTATACCTGACCCCACTTGCTCAAAATACAGGGAAACTTTGTTATAGCTTCTCTTTTTAATAAGCAAAAAGAGTGCCAAAGCTCTGGTTGGGTACTTTATGAGCTGCAGTAATTTCAAGTAGTAAATCATTAGGTAGTACTGAATAAATTCAAGACTCTACTCCTAATGGTTTAGAGGTATCTAATCTCTTCCCAGTTAGTTTGTTACTACTTTCAAGAGTCTTGGAAAATTTGGGAAAAACCATGATCTTTAAAATGTTAAGTTGAAAATAATTTAAGTTTAGTTTGTGATTTAAATTTATAAAATGTATGTTTGTATTTACATGCACAGGTATCTGTGGGTGGTAGAATTACGAGAGATTTTCTTCCTTTTTTTCCCTATGCTCTTAATATTTTCCAAATTTTATACAATGAATGTATATGATTTTTATAGTCAGAAAAAGCTTCCTGAAATAATTATCTAGATAGACAGGGATGTAAGTAGTTGCGCACACACACACATGCACATAACACGTACATGCATACTCATACTGTTAACTCTACATTGTGCCAGAAGGAGGTGCTCAAAAAATGATGGGAAATGGCCAGAAGGACACCATGCACCTTAGAGAGTTTCCCATTGAACAAATCTGGGACATTTTAAGCACTAAAATAAATAGGGAAAATAATCGATTATATTACATTGAATAAAATGAGAATCCATACCGATATAAATGAGTGAATAAATTGAAAGTTTGACAAGGAATAGGATTTTGAAAAAGTTTCAAAATACATTCCCACAAAATATTTATTAATTACAAAGAGGTAAAGAGGAATTTCACAGAAGAGAAGCCTGGCAGACATCAGCGATTAAAAGGAACATCACCATGAAGAGACCAACTGAAATCACATTTCACCTGAACACAGGGTCACTTCTGTAATATTCCTGTCAGAGATGCATAACTTACAGGGTCGATCTATGGAGAAACATCAGACAGGCCCAAATTGTGGGGCTTCTATAGAATAACTTGCCTGTAATCTTCAAAAGTTTAAGATTATGAAAGTGAAAGAAAGATGAAGGAACTGTTCCAGACTGAAAAGGGCTAAGGAGACATGGACTAAATGAAATTTAGGATGCTAAACTGAATTCTTTTGCCATACAGAACATTTTGGAAACAGCTGGCTAAACTTGAATGGGATCTGAGGATTAATGGCAGTAATGTATTACTATTTACTTACTTGTTTTCACAGTTGTGTTGAGATCATGTGGAAAAATGTCCTTGTTTGTAGGAATTACACACCAGAGTACTTGGGAGTAATGGGTCATCAGATTGACAATTTACTCCAGATGGTTCAGGAAAAAATTATTTGTACTTTCTGTAACTTTTAACTGTGTTTCACAATTTTTTTAATTATATAAAAAAAGTTAAATGCAAAGCATCACCCAAAACTCCAATATAAGTATTATTTTCAACTAACAAGGAAAGTCATAGTTTTAAAGTTAAAGATCTCTTACTACCTGCCCTTAATATAATTTTAAAGCATGCTTACTTAGAAAGCGTTTAACTACATGGTTTGAAATTTAAATCTGTATTCAAATTGATTGACCCTATAAATGTGCTTAGAGTTGGAAAAGTGATTATGGAGAAGAGTTCATCATGATTGCTTCATTTGATGTTTTGAAACTTGTCCTCAAACTCAAGTGATTAAAATTATTTCTCTTCTATGAGCTGCATATGATGTACCTCTGTACCATCAGAAACCTAAGGGTGCAATAATAATAAACATCTATATTTTACAAAGCAGTTTCGCAACCATTATCTCATTTTATCCTGCTAGTCACATTCATTAAGCAAAGACAAAAGAAGAAATCATTGCCTATATTAGTCTCGGGAAGTAGGCATTATTATGGTTCTTACTTTATAGCTAGGAGATTGAGGAGACACTAGGTCACTACTTTAAAGTGCAGGAGCCAGGATTCCAGCTCCCGTGATGTGACTTGGGTTCTGGTTAAAGCATAGTGCCTTAAACTAAGAGTCGTAACTTGCCCATGACCCTCTGTGATCACTCCAGGCCATTTTGTTCATCGGCAAAATGAAAGTGTTGAACTCTATAATCTTCAAGCTCTGTTCCAGCTTCAAATCCTAAAATTGAAGCCATCAATAGTACTAACAACAGCAACAAAAAATGTAACCATAAGATGACTGGGAGTAATCTTAACCAGAAAAGTATATAATCTATGTGAGAAAAAAAATTTACAAAACTTTCCTGAGATGTTTTTAATGACTTGAATATAAGACTTGCATATGTGTTAACTTTCCCATTCTCCTTTTTTGGTGTGTTCAATTTCAGATATATTAATAACTAAAATTCAGGTGTGATGGTTTAGTGCTTGTGAAAAGAAAGTTTTTTCAGGGAGGCTGAGTCATTAACAAATCTGCAGTTTCCCTCCTGAGATTTTTTTGGTGGAGAGAAAGGTTGTTATTCCAAGGAACCCTTTTTTCTTTTTAATGAGGGTAAAGACAGATGGGTTTGGAAGAGATTTTCTCTTGTTAAACCAATAGGCCACTGCTGCTTCTTATAGCTTAAGGCAGTCTTATGGGAAACAGGCATTTACATGGTTTTTTTGGCGGAGGGAGGGTGACTGCATTACTTTTACTATGAAGCTCTATTTGATTGGTCTGAATTTTGCAGCACTAGGTTAATATCTCTTTCTTCAGATCTCAACATAACAGCTCATGAGCACTTCTCAAAAGAGAAGAAAGTTATAAAGGCAAAGGAAAGACTGTCACAGTGAGTGTTTAGACAGCAAGGCTGATTGTTTTCAAACAAATTTAATTCATTATATGCCTAGTAATGAAGACATCTTAATAATAGAGAAAACAGCCCTATTATCTACATGCTTCTATTAACCAATTTATTTTGTTTAGATCAGTGGGCAGGACACCATCTGCTACTAGAAATTTTCTTTTCATCAGTCCTGCCCCCATTATGAGTCCCCAGTTAAGCAACTTCAGCTGTCCTCCTGTTTAGGAGGAAAAGGCAGCTAAGAGGATATTGTAAATTGTACCATGCCCTCAGAGGATTTAATTTGGTCACCTCCTTGGTAAGATAAATTAGTGGGAGGAGTTTATGTGTGTTGGAGAAAAGGGCTACCAACGGAGAGGGAGGGGTAGAATTGATGGTGGATTTGGCAGCTTTAAAGAAATTGTTTTGTAGGATTAAAAAAATTTTTTTTCTCATAGCTTTTTGGTGACTTTTTGTTTCTCCAAGATCTCTTTTTCTAAGGCATATTTCAACTATTTAGCACAAGCAGTGTTAAGAGCCCTTTTCCATAATATTTTACTTTCAGGACTATGAAATATATCTACATACATATTAGTATATGTGATTATGTGTTTATATAAAGTGCAATTAATATACAGATGTTATTATTGTAAATGTAGACCCTGTGACACTGAAATAATTTTTTATTTTTCTTGTATTAAAGGTCCATGACTCCAGCTCAGGCTGACCTGGAATTTCTTGAGAATGCCAAAAAGCTGTCTATGTATGGTGTTGACCTTCATAAAGCAAAGGTAATGGCAACTTTGGCCTTTATTAATATGCATGTATCAGGCCTGTGACATATAATACCTCTGGCCAAACTTTCTCTGGCATATTAGAAAACATTCTGAAGAGAGAGTAGTTCTTGTTAGAATTTTAAGTCTATCAGTTGAATCAGTCAAGTATATTAAGTGTATAAATTGAATGGCCCCTTTGCAGTTCCACCATCAGAATGAAGTTTCATATCTAAGCAACTGTAAGGATCAAAAGATACAGCACTGAGAACAAAAGAAATGATAATTTCCTCAAGTGCAGATACATTTGAAAATACAGCATGATAGCGAGACATGTTTCATAGCCAATATCACTACGTGAGAATCACCTGGGGAGTTTATTAAATATGCAGATTCCTGAACTCCTTCCAGATTTACTGAATTACTTTGGAGGAGAGACTGAATCTCCAGAGTTAATGAGTATCCCAAATGATTCTCCTTTATGCTTGAATTTGAGAACCATTGGCCTAAGGTAGTGGTTCTTAAAGTGTGGTCTCTGAACTATCATTTAGCATCGTCTAGGAACTTGTTAGAAATGCACATCTCAGGTCCCAGCCTAGACTTAGTGAATCAGAAACTCTTGTCGGTGGAGCCGAGCAATTTGTTGTAACAAGCTCTTCAGTTGATACTAATGCACATTGGAGGAATGACAATGGCTCATTTGAGAACCACTGGGTTGGGGAATTGGAAACTTGAGAGCTTTCATCCTAGATCTGCCTAACACAGCCTAACAATGGTTACTTAAGGAATGTCACTTGACTTCTCTCATCTTCAGCTGCTGAAATGATTGGGAAGGTTGAGGAGTTTGTGAGGGAAAGGGCTCAAGGAATGATCTGAGATACATTTTGAAATTCTTAACTAAGAGGCTTGATGAGAGGAATCAAAACCATGTCCAATGAAAAGCAGGCAAAGGAATAGAGGTGCTTAGCCCACAGCAGGAAAAGTTTAGGGGAGACATAATATCAGTCTTCATGGATTTACAGGATTGGTATGTGAAGTAGAGATTTTGCTATGCCTCCAAGATATAAAACTAGAGCTGGTAAAATGGAAACTGCAGGGGAAAACTGTCAGCTCAGTTGGACAAATTATCTAATAGTCAGAGCTATTCAAAGATGGGATGGGCTACCTCAGAAGGTACTGAGTTCTCTGTCACTAGAGATATCCCAGGATAGGCAGAATAATCACTTGGTAGGAATTTAGAAAAGAACATTCAAACATTTGGTGGATGATTGAAATTAAATTACCTTTCAAGCTTCTCTCAACCTGAATATCTGATATCTGAAGTTTCTTCCTTATTTAGTTTCTATTAATGCTGTTAAAATTTCATTGCGTGTTAGTGATTTTTCTTAAGATGTTGCTCTGGATTGTTTTGGGCTGGATACTGTAACGTCTGTGAATCTCTAAAATAATGGTAGGAAGATCAGATCAGATGTATTTCCAGAACAGAAATTGTTAGATTTTGCCTCCCAATTTCTGCTGGAGGCTGGTATCAGTTCAGTTTGTCACTAATGGGTGAGGAGTCAGGCAGTATGTTTCTTTCCCAAATTTTGTAAAGCAAATTGTTTTTCCAAAACATATAGTTAAGAGAGAGATGTAGTTGTACCCACAGGCTTTAAAAACTTAAGAGGGAATCTTCAGGGAAATTCTCAGTTACATAGTCATAGAATTGAGACTGAATATAATGTCTTCTCTCTATTGTGCTTGTCCATAACACATGTAGGCACTAATATGTGTCTCCATATTCATTTTGGGAAAAGGAGTAGTCTAAAGCACACAACTCTGGGTTTTGATTACTTATCTAGATAGTCATCTGTAGAAAGTAACTGAAGTGAAACTTATTTTTCTTGGATTACAGATAAAGATGATTAATATTATATATTTAATTAAAAATTTTTTCTTTAATAAAAAGGCATGTTGGGCAGGGTGGATACAGCTCAGCAGTAGAGTGCATCTTAGTATGCACAAGATTCTAGATTCAATCCCGAGTACCTCCATCAAAAAAAATAATAAAATAAAGAGGCATGTAAATAAAGCTTTTTGACTTGAGGAAGGTATTTATAACTTAGTATACCTAACATCAGTAATTATAAAAATCTGAGTTCTCTCATACTGAGTTTATAAGGAATAGAGTCAACTCCTATACTTATGATTTTTGAAGGGATAATCACTTTATCATAGAATA